CGGAGGGTTTGCGTGACCGTTCTGCATCACAGGTCAATGAACAAGTGATTGATCCTACACTCTCCACAGATGCATGGGAGACCTTGGGGCAGGAGTTCAACAACATCCAGGGATCTTCTTCATCGCACATGAATATTCACGACGACATGGGTTTCATGCAGAACCAGTTCTACGAGGGATTACTTAACGAGACATTCGCGGAATACTTCGAGCCAACCGAGTCGACAAATCTGGATAACATTGTTCGCGACCTGTTCCAAGGCCTCATTCCCACAGACTCAATTTAAGCCAGCCATCAGTCTTGAGACTTTTGTGGCCCTTCAGCAGTCAAGAAGTCAAAATCAGCGCCTAGCTCAGCCTGATTAACGCTGCGCATGTATAAGCCCCGATAACCTCTCATTCCTTCTCGCTTCACCCACGGTGCTGCAGCTCCCTCAGCTTGCTGGAAGGTCTTCAGTCTCTCCTGGATCCTCTGTGATATTTCTTCATCGGATATGTCGACAAAGAGCTGCCTCTTTTCGACATCTAGTGTGATGAGATCTCCATTCCGGACAATACCAAGCGGAGATTTGGGGTCTGCTGATTCTGGGGAGATGTGCAGTCCGATTGTTCCGCCCGCTGTTCCACTCATGCGACCATCTGATAGACGCAGCATATCCAATACTCCTTGAGAGGCAATCTTTCTTGGGATAGGAATCATGCCTGCCTCTGGCATACCAGGGTTTCCGATTGGGCCAATATTCTGGAGGACCAGGACACTGTCGGGTGTGACATCCAGATCAGGATCGTCGATCCTCTCCGCCATGTCCGCAGAGTTTGCGAAAACGACGGCCTTGCCGGTATGCTGTAGCAGCTTTCGGTACTTCGAAGCACTAGCTTTCATTATAGCGCCTCCTGGGGCCAGGTTTCCTTTCAACACTACCAGAGAAGACGCTGGGTACAGTGGCTTATCAAATGGCTGAATGACACTTAGTTCTCGAGGAACGGTAATGAGAGAGTTGTGAGCAATTTCTTCTCCTAGTGTTCGGCCAGTGACTGTCAAGGCATCGAGATGAAGCAGAGGCTTGAGTTCATGGAACAAAGCGAGCATACCACCTGAACTTGTTAGTCTTTACTTCAAAACAGACTGAACAGCATACCTGAATTATGGAAGTCTGTCATATAGTTATCACCACTTGGTTTCAGATCAACCAACAACGGTGTCTTACGGCCAATCTCGTCGATGGTTTCCAATGTTATCGTGCCAGCAACTTTGGGATGGCGCCCAATGATGGCCATGAGATGAACCACGGCATTCGTTGAGCCGCCGATTGCCTGTAGTACAGTAATGGCGTTTAAGAACGACTCCCGTGAGAGTAAAGCTTGTGGCCGCAGGCGTTCAACGTCTTTGCAAGCTGCAACGGCTAATCCACCTGTGGCTTCTGCAATTCGCAACCTTGCCGCCGATACAGCTGGGGCCGTGGCGCCAGCAAAAGGCATCATGCCGAGTCCCACGAGAATGGAGGCCATGGTAGATGCCGTGCCCATAACACCACAAGTTCCTCCCTGCCATTGTTAGATTTGATGCCATGAGATGGATGGTGAGAGCTCACAGTTGGTGCTAGTTCATCATTGATAGCTGAAATATCTTCAATGTCAAGAGTGCCGGCTCTGTACTTAGCCCAGTTATTGCGGCAGTCTGTGCAGGCTCCAATGCGTACTCCGCGATGACTACCGGGCATCATTGGACCAGTGACTAGATGTAGGATGGGCTTGTTTGCTGAGATACCTCCCATCAGCTGAGCAGGTGTAGTCTTGTCACATCCTATTCTGGTCAGCATCAACCTCATTCGGTATACTTCAAAGGTCAACATACCGCCAATCAAGACAACAGCATCACAAGGCTGCGCCGCAATCATCTCCTCCGTATCCATACTCATAAGATTCCTCAAGTACATACTTGTTGGTGACGAGAAGCTCTCATGAATACTAATAGTTGGAAAGTCAATGGCCAACCCGCCATTGAGCTGAACACCTCTCTTGACAGCATCAATAAGCTGAGGAATATTGGCATGGCAGGGATTGAAGCTGGAGTATGTATTCACGATTCCAATGATGGGGCGTGAGAGTGCATCCTCGCTGTAGCCGAGGGCTTTGATGAAGACTTTACGAAGGAAGAGGGAGAAGTGAGGATCTCCGTAGGAGGCGAGGCCTTGGCGAAGGCCGACTTTTGATGTGATGGGTTGGTCGAGGTCATAGTCTGGGTTGACCACTGGTTTCTTGGGGTCTGACATTTTGATCAATGTGGTTGAGGAGAGATGATTACAGGGGATGAGATATCGGCCTATCAGTGTTTATGTATTACTCTCCCCCGTGGCGATGATCACATATCGGCGTTGGAGGTGCAGACGGGGTGACCCCGCGCCAGCCATCACGCAATATGGCCCACGGAGCACTTACACTTACACGTCAACGGGAGAATCCCGCTACACACCAACCTAAGTAAATCCACAGATATACTAATAAAAGGCCGTCAGGATGATAGATGGAATATCCATTATTGGTATCCTTACCTTGTTTCTTTGGTTAACTACTCATTATGCTCAACCTTTCAAATAAAGTTGCCCTCATAATCGGTCTCGGCCAAACAGGCACCGAGGGCTGGGGAATCGGTGCAGCATGCGCCGTGACCCTGGCACGACAAGGAGCCATCATCTTTGGCGGAAACAGAACAGTCGCTTCAACTACAAAGACAAAAGAGACTATTGAAGCAGAAGGCGGAATATGCGACATCATCGCTACAGACGCCACAAACTCAGCTTCTGTAAAAGCGCTCGTTGATGCTTGCATCAAAAAGCATGGACGGATTGATATCCTTTTGACAAGCGTTGGACAATCCCAACCTGGAGATCCTGCTTCTATGAGTGAAGACGTCTGGGACTCACAGATGGACATCAACCTCAAGAGCGTCTACCTCGCCTGCCACCACGTCCTCCCCATAATGGAATCTCATAAAAGCGGTTCAATAATCTGCATCTCCAGCATCGCAGGACTCCGATACATCGGCAAACCGCAAGTAGCCTACAACACCGCCAAAGCCGCAATACTCCAGTTCGTCAAAGCCACAGCGATAATCTACGCCTCCAAAGGCGTGCGCTTAAACGCCGTGGTGCCCGGGCTGATGAACACGCCGTACACGCGGAGTCTGGCGGAGAGGTTTGGGAAGGGGTATGAGGAGTTTTGCAGGACGAGGGAGGAGCAGGTTCCGATGGGAAGGATGGGGGATGCGTGGGATGTTGCGAGTGCGGTTGCGTTTTTGGCGGCTGATGAGGCGAGATATGTGACTGGGCAGAAGATTGTGGTTGATGGGGGGATAACGAGCTCGACGGGGAGGGCTTAGGGCTTGATAAGGGGGGCCGTGTGAGAAGTGGAAAGTAACTTTTTGTGATGTTAGGTTGAGGCTTGATAAGATGGAGCTTGTAGTTCTGTCTCATGAGATACCGTTTCTGAGGGGTAGTTGAGCCATGTAGATATTCAAGCTGTGGTGGAGTTTCCGGCTCAGCCACTGAAACTACATGATGGCCGAGATGTGAGAACGCCTTATCCAATGAGCCTGTTGACTGCATGTAACATACTGGTTTACTTTGTTTATATCGGAGCATAGATGTCAGAAGGTTTCGGTGCTTCTTTGGAAGTATTCCCGTGCCTGTGTCGAACAACAGCCATTATTTGAACAGAAAAGAAGGCCGTAGATGCGGATAGAATTTCGACGTTCAGGACAGAATACTCAAAATATAATAATTTAGTAATGAGGGTGATTTAGCTATGAGAATATTTGCAATATCTGAAGATGCCAAACTCGAGGTCTACAATTCTGCGTGTTGGTGAGTTGGCCGCATTGTTTACTGCTACACTAATGGTGATCTAATCAGTCTCCAATAGCGACTGAGCTTCAGCCTCTTCAGATAACTTATAATTTATCGTCATTCGCGAGTTGCTTACACAATTCTATGTGTACACCGGCCAAATTGCGTAGGCGGCTTTCCCCCGTTTCTCGGTCCACACGCGGCGCAAACCCGCCGTCCGTTGGTGTTAGTTCAAGCCAAGTCCACCCCGATACATTTAAACTGACCTACATCACCGCCAGATCAATAAACCATTGGTACATCACTCACTCATTTCACAATGACTGTCATTCATATGGGTGCGTCTCCTCTTTCCCCCCAATCGTTATTTCCCCCCTCTTACTTACGCCTCGCAGTTCTCTTTAAGTTTCGCTCTGATGTCGACGAGTCACACCGCGAGACATTTGTCAAAGAACTCAAAACCCTCAAGACATTACCATGCGTCAAAGACGAACGTCTTGTCGTGGGGGGTCCATCTATTACAGATCCAATTGCGAGGAGTAAAGGCTTTCAGATTTGCTTATTGAGTTTTCACCATGATAAGGCTGCGTTGGCGGCGTATCAGGCGAGTAGTGAACATCACAGGTAAATCTAACCCCCCATTATCGAAAAGAACAGAAGCTGATGGGTTACAGGGTCACGAGTCAATATCTCTGGCCATTTGCAGAAGACGTAACGCGTTTCGACTTTGAAGTCGCAGAGGAGGATGAGGATACATTTGAGAAGAGTTTCAACTTGTCTGGCCAATGAGCATAAAAGAGACTTACACGGAACTTGTCCAATTGTTTGAGCATTACTCATCAGAATGCGATAATGCAGAGTCACCCCGCACCGAGATAACATCGGCGGCCGGCGGCCAAGGCTTGACCCGCCCCGCACTACTACACTACGGCCCGCCGGCTTTTGATGATGCTACGACGACGACTTCTGAAGGTCTAGAATGTTTGTGGGGTTAAGAAAATATCAGCCCTTTCTCTTCTATTCACAGATTCTTCTTTGTGCTTTGTTAGTGCTCTCTCATTGTTGTTTCTGTGATTGTCTGCCAGTGATTGTTTTTGGTGAGCTCAACACCATCGTTTGTATCACCACTTTGCTATCAACCATCTTACTTTCACGATGCCCCGCTTCAGCCTACCTCGCCTTGAAACCCTCAGCAAACCCAAATTTCTCAATGGCATACCAAACAATAGTATCTTTGCCATAGCGACTCTCATCGCCGTCAATGCCCTGGTATGGATCGCTGCAGGCATTGTTCTGCACTTCCATCCACGCCTCATCTCGCCAGCTGCCCTCTCATACGTCCTTGGTCTTCGCCATGCTTTGGACGCAGACCACATCGCAGCGATTGATCTGATGACACGTCGTCTCATCGCATCAGGTCAACGGCCTGCGACAGTGGGGACATTCTTTTCATTGGGGCACAGCACCATCGTCATAGTAACATGCATCGTCGTCGCAGCCACGAGTGGCGCTTTGAGGGAAAGGTTTGATGGGTTTCAGCACGTGGGAAATATAGTTGGAACTAGTGTCAGTGCCGCATTTCTTATTATCCTCTGTATAGGAAATGGCTGGGTTCTGTATAAGCTCATTCAGCGCTTACAAGCGATTCTGCAAGAGCGGAGAGACCAAGTCCGACTTGAAGGATTCGTCGAGGAGGAGACGCAGATCCAGGATCACTTTGCTCTGGAGGGAGGAGGCTTCTTGACGCGTGTGTTCAAAAGGCTATTTCGTGTTATCGACAGACCGTGGAAAATGTACCCGCTGGGCGTGGTATTTGGTCTTGGGTTCGATACAAGCTCAGAGATTGCGATATTAGGGATTGCGAGCATCCAGGCGGTACAAGGGACGAGTATCTGGTTGATTCTGATCTTTCCTATTCTCTTCACAGGTGAGTGGCGACGTATCTTCATTAGAGTTGGAGGTTTACTCACGCGCGATAGCTGGCATGTGCATGCTCGACACCACAGACGGAGCCCTCATGATGGCCCTGTACACGTCGAAAGCGTTCTCAAGAGACGTGGTAGCTATTCTGTACTATTCTATCGTCCTCACAGGAATTACAGTCGTGGTATCAGCTTTCATCGGCATCGTCCAGGTTCTCTCCCTAATACAGAACGTCGCAGACCCTCAGGGGCGGTTCTGGGATGGAGTTTCCTCGATCGGCGATCACTTTGACATTGTCGGAGGGAGTATCTGTGGTGTGTTCCTCATCGTGGGTCTCGGATCGATATTCGTGTATAAACCTTGGAGGAGGCACGTGGAGAGGCAACAGCAAAGCTTGATTCAGGATCCGGAGCCCTCTTTGGACGCTCAATCGCCTGCGCCTTCGACGGAGCATGAAGATGATGGATTTGTTCAGGCGCAGATGATTGTTTAGCTTTCGTGCGTCTTCTCTTCAAGTTGCGCGATTGGCCGTGGGATTTGTATCTTCACGATTACTGGGTGAGGGTTGCGGTCTCGAGGCTGCGTTCACACTCTAATTGGCAAGTATGAGACTGTATTCTACGAAGAACGAAGGAGAGACTGCTCAGTACCTGCGAAACCAATGAGGTATAAGAGAGCGCTTGACCATCCTTTTTGGTCCTCTTGTTTCTCCTATCATCATTTTGTTGGGTTTATGATCTTTGGCTTTGGCTTTGGCTTTGGCAAATCCATCGATATCGATATCAATGTCAGCATCAATAATCATGGAATCAGAAGCAGCACTTGGTCCACTACCAGCTGCCTCTATAGGTGAAATAGGTAAGTTTATTAATTTTCGACCTACACTCTTGCCGACCACAACTGACAAAGTTAATTCAGAGTCTCAAGGCCTACAGGACCAATCGAGTAACGATGTTGTTCGCAGTTTCGGCGTCGAAAACGGCAACGCCCTGCACATTTCCATAGATGACCACCCCATCACGTTGCCTCTCTCCTCGCCAGAGGAAATTTTCACCAACCCATCGACGTACAGTCGTGAGGAAACTATAGACTGCATACAACGAGGTGTCGGTCAATTCTGGGCTGATGATTTGGCTGCCCAACAGATGAATGCCGGTACCAACATGCAGAACCCTCCTCAAGAGCAGAATTCCTCTCAAGAACAGAGCCCACCTCAAGAACAGAGCTCTCCTCAAGAGCAGAACTCCCCTCATGCTCCAAGTGCCACACCTGAGATCAAACCTATACCTCAGGCCAAGGAGGCCCGAGGTGTAAAGAGAACGAGGGCATCTGAACCCGACGAGTCTCGAGCAGCAAAGCGACCTACCAGGAGAAAACGCCAGCCCGCGACCAAGAAAGCGAAGTCTAAAGAGCCCCGTCGTTTTCCAAAACTTCTACCGAAGCCTCCTCAGCCAGCTTCCCATTGGAATGGGACGGTGATCCCTGGCATACAGCGTCCGTATGGTGGTTCTTGGCAGAGACAGACGGGTATAGATCCTCGCGGTGTTGCGTATTCTGGCAACGCGAGTGTCTATATGTCTTCCCCCATGCTACTTCAGCAGCAGGGGACGACGAGAAGCATGCTTCCTACCCCAGTGCCTTCTCCTGGCCAGATTCCCTACCCTAGGCCACCTCAGCAGCAGGGGACGACGAGAAGCATGCTTCCTACCCCAGTGCCTTCTCCTGGCCAGATTCCTTACCCTATGCCACCTCCGCAGCAGCTTGCTAATGAGATGACGATGGGAAGTATGAGGCATCATCAGCCCGAGGGGAATGGCATTCCCGTGATGTATGTCCCACCTAGCTTTTCCGTGGGGCATATTCAGCCAAGGGGCAATGGCAATGCCATGATGCATCAATATAATGGTCCTATGGTGAATGCCTCTAGCTCTTTCATGGTAAATTACCAGCCAAGAGGGTTTGGGGGGTTTAGTATAAACTAGGTAAAGAGTCCACTAAACTTAGACTAAATTTACCTAAATATTTTATCGCATAGGGTAAAGGTCCTAACACAAGGTCTCTTCGCTTGAGACTAAAGTGCCTATAATACATTTATCGTCTATAGAGAAGAGCAGACAAGGCTCTCTCGATCATGGAAATTGATATCGTGTCTCAAGATCGAGAATGCGGGGTAGTCCTTTCGTGAAGCCGGCTTGTATCCTCCGAATGGGTCTTTGACCAGGCTGAGTCGTGTCGTGACAGGGAAAGGAGGATGGATTTGCAGTCTCAAAGTCCCCAGTTTCTGAGGCTGATCAACTGTACCCACTTAGCTATAGTAGGTAGCTAGGGGATTGAAAGAGTCAGATGCGCCCCCGTTTTCGGAAGCGTTGCCACCCTTGTCGCTCTTAAGTAAGGTATGTAGGGTAGGGCAGTCCTAATCTCTGCCTTCTTATAGGCTAATTGCTTATCGCTGGTGTAGCTAAAGTGCCACTTGGTACTGATAAGACTTTGTTTCTTTTGGGGGCGTCTTTGTTCCAGAATTGACGTGAAAGGTGTATCTGAACAGGCGCTTGAACGAGAAGGATTGCTTCGTTATTGGGACTTTGGATAAGTATGCACCAACCTCCTGGGTGAAGAGGAAGGGCTCATGACCAGTCATTTTGGCCGGTAGTATCACCGCCTTGAAGGCCTCAGGAGAGACAGTATTCCGCCCACTGTTGGTCCGTGAGGTGGTCACCTCAACGAGTCCCGTCCGTCCCTGCATGATAATGCACTGCTGCGCCTATCATCAAGGCTCACTACAGTGCTTCGCTTCTGTTTGTCTGCAGCCTTGAACCGGACCTAGCGGGCGTCCCTGGCGCCCCGCACTGTTTGCCTCGCCAAAGTACCTCAAAAGAAGTTGACGGCGCCCCAGGACCCTTACTCACTTGCTATCTTGCTCTACTGTGCGTTCTAGGTTGGACCCCTAGAAATCCAATCCTGGGGACCCACCGGCCGGATCAACGACTCGACTCAGGAGTTCTAGCCTCGCTCTTTCTGACGAATCGGATCAAAGGGATATTCGAGGCCATGCCCATAGCGGATGGCGAAAGATTAGTAGATCTTTGTTTCCGAAGATTCGACTGGCCTCTCGTGCTTCGCTTCGTTGTACAGTACAGTACGGCACTACTGTCTTCGTCTGCTTTGTCATCTAAACTACGGAATCGGACTGCCCGTCGTCAAAGGAAAATGTCATCGGAAAGTGAGGGTGTCGTGGTGTCAGACAGACACACATGGTTGAGCGTCAAGTCAACACACAAAAAAGCCAAGGAGTTAAACCCCAGCCCCAACACAACAGAGCGGTCTGGAATATGCGCGGCCAGAAGGGGGAATTGCTCAGCAACCCTGTGCCATGCAACCGGGTTCGAAGATCGCGTTTTCCGTGAAATTAATAGGGCGCTTGGTTGAGCTGGGATGAGACAACAAGCAACAATGTCTCTCCTCTCTCTGTCTCTGCAGGCCCCGGGTATCGGGCCTAGCTCCATACTGTACATTTATATACTTTCCAGTTCCGGGGATGGGGAGGACCCTTGCTAATCCACACTGTCCGGTGCTCCGTGCATCAAATGGTGCCATTCGAGAATGTCTAAGTGCCTGCGGGTACTGTACCTCTACAGCTTTGTTTTGCTGGTGAGGAACATGTCGAGCCCTTCCAGTTTCCGTCGGTGAAGTTGTCATGTACTGTACTGTGCAGGACCGTGTCGTGTCGTGTCGTGTGTCTGTGGACCCTTGGTCTGGGGACTTCGGTTGATGGGTGGTGGCGGACGACTAGTGCGGCAGTGAATAGCATTCCCATTTCCTTTGCTCGACTCTTGTCATATATAGACCCTTCTTTTCCTCCGACTTCGGTTTTCTCCTTTTCTTTTCGATTTCCTTCAGTTCTTAACGGGACGCTGGTTCCTTTACCATATTTGTCACCTCTCTCATACTCTCGAAGGGTGTACCATCTTATCTTGTGTAGTTCAACAAGATACACCCAAACACCTTACACCGTACTATCCTCCCTCCAGATAGCAAATCTACTCCTCAGGAGACCGTTCTTTCTTTAGTTTACTATATATCACATCCATCAGAATGCACGGTTACAGTTCATCAGAAGAGTCCGACGACCCTCGTCGGCCTCGTGCCCAACCTGCCACCACCAACAACAACGACCAGAAGAAGAAGAAAAAGAAGAAGCTCCCGCCCCAAAAGAGCATCAACCGCATCTGGAAGAAGTTCTCCAAGCGCAAGTTTCACAAGGCTCTCGCCGTCCTCCCATTCGACCCCGTGCAACCTCCTGCTACCTACTATTCCAACGAGCTCTTATCGGCCGGTTACGAGCGAGCCGCTGAGGAATGTCGACGCAAGGTTGAGAAGATCATTAAAGAATGCAAGCGAGTGAATATGCGATATCGAGATCCTGGTTGGGATTTGGTGAGTTTGCCGTCTGTTCGTAGTCCGTGTGAATTTGGCGCTAATGCACTTCCTAGGATTGGGATCTCAAGTATGAGAAGGGCCATTGCTTGAATAACCTGGGATCGCAAAAATTCGAGCTCAACAGGACAACACTGCTGAGCTCAAAGGCGGCTGTTCCCAAGGCCGTCAAGCGAGTGCACGAGATCTTTGAGAATCCCACCTTCATGAAAGAGGTTAGTGGTGGTGACGTCAAGCAGGGCAGTCTAGGAGACTGCTGGATCATGGCTGGCCTAACAGCTCTGGCCAATGTTGCAGGAGGTCTACAGCGGATCTGCGTTGCCCATGACACAAAGATCGGCATCTACGGCTTTGTCTTTTATCGAGATGGCGAATGGATCTACTCCATCATCGACGATAAACTCTATCTCAAGTCTCCTTTGTGGGATTCCCCCTCCATGCAGAGAGATCTTCTGCAGCAGATCGATCGTGAGGATAACGAGAATGTTTATCGCAAGACCTATCAGACTGGCTCCAAGGCTCTTTTCTTTGCGCAGTGCAGAGATCAGAATGAGACTTGGGTTCCTCTCTTCGAGAAGGCCTACGCCAAGGCTCATGGTGACTATGCGTCATTGGCGGGTGGCTGGATTGGTGAGGGTGTCGAGGATCTCTCTGGTGGAGTTACCACTGAGCTCTTGACGTCTGACATTCTCGATATCGATGAGTTTTGGGATAAGGAGATGTCACGAGTCAACGATGAGTTCCTCTTTGGCGCTTCTACTGGTCTGCTTGAGCACGGATACGGTGAGCGCAATGGCATCTCTGAAGGGCACGCCTATGTCGTCATGGAGGCTCGTACTCTAAAGTCTGGCCAGCGCTTGGTCAAGCTTCGCAATCCTTGGGGTAAAGTCCGCAAGGGTATTTGGGAGGGAGCTTGGAGTGATGGCTCCAAGGAGTGGACTACCGAGGTGCAGGAGGAGATGGACCACAAGTTTGGCAGCGACTCTGTTTTCTGGATTTCTTATGAGGATCTTATTCGGAAATATTCTCACTTCGACCGTACTCGACTCTTCCGCGATCGAGACTGGCGATGCTGCCAGCGCTGGATTGGCGTTGATGTTCCGTGGAAGGCGGCTTACCATGAGAAGTTTCACATTAAGTTGACTCAGGACTCGCCTCTTGTTTTGGTTCTTTCACAGCTTGACGGTCGGTATTTCAAGGGTCTCCACGGACAGTACTCCTTCCGCCTTCACTTCCGACTTCACTACGAGGACAGCCCCAATGCCGAGGACTACATTGTCCGGTCTCACGGTAACTATCTCATGGAGCGTTCTGTTTCTGTTGAGCTGCCTGATCTTCCCGCTGGCAACTATGTCGTTTACCTCAAGGTTACTGGCGAGCGAGACTCTAACGCTCAATCTGTCGAGCAGGTCGTCAAGCGCGAGGCTGCCGACAGAACTGAGAATGAGAAGCTTGCTCAAGTTGGTTACGCTTATGATCTAGCCCACAGCAAGGCTTGGGACCACATGGACAAGGTCACCAAGCTTCGCCAAAAGAAGGATCAGAAGAAGGCATCTGCCAGTCGTCAGAAGGAGCGTCGCCGCATGTGGGAGAAGCGTGCTACCAACCGCGACGTCACCAAACAGCAGACCAAGAAGAACGCGGACAAGAGAAAGCGACGCCGCGCAGAGTGGGAGGCTGAGCAGAACCGCCTTGATGAGGAGTTCAACGCTAAGGTCAAGGCTGAGCGTGAGCAGATGAAGAAGGAGAGGCTTGCTAAGGCTGAGGCTGAGAAAGCCGCTGAAGCTGAGAAGAGGGCTCAAGAAGCTGATGATGAGGCTTTGAGAAAGAAGACTGAGGAGATCAAGATTTCGGAAGACAAGGATGAGCCTGTCGTCGTAGATGAGCACCACAAGGATCATGATGACGCGGTTATTTCCGTCTCCACTGGATCGCCTCACTTGACTCCCAAGTCTATGGACTCTACAGCCGAGGGTGCTGAAGAGAAGCAGGAAGTTCCCCCAGTCAGTGGAGGACCTCCAGCTCCCATCGAGGAAGAAGAGCCTCTCCCCGTCCGCCCTCGACCTGCCTACGATTCTGCTGGCGAGTCATCCGACTCACCTGTTGAAGACTGGGAAGCTCTCTACAGCAGCGACGACATGGCTCGCAAGCCTCGCCTCACACAAGCCAACCAAGGCGCCGCCCAAGACGACTACGACTCGGAGGAGGAAAAGATGCCCGAGCCGTGGAACGCCATCTGCATCGTCGGCGTGCGCGTGTATTCCAAGGACGAGAACCTGGAGCTGCGCACCGTCATGGAAGGCGGTGAGCTTCTAGAGGGCGGCATGGGCTCCAAGGGCGCCGCAGATCTCGACAACGCTCAGTCCAACGCGGGCGGTGGACGAGCCGATGACAAGGATGCTTCCAAGACGAAGCAGGATGATGACAGGTCGTATCCCCCCGTCATCCGCAAAGACGGAAAATACGTGGAAGATGAGAATACATCTGGAGAGAAGTATTCTTCTATCCAGAGCTATTTCCACATCGACTCTGCTTTTACGACGAGGGT